AGAAGGCAGTCTTCATTAGCATTTAGAATTGAATTAAATACAAGATTATATTTTGAAAGGACGCCTATTACTGCAAGTTGATGCAAATTAAATATATATTATATATATGTAAAATTATATATATATATTATATATATGTATATAATATATATTATATACATATATATATATATATATATATATATATATATATATATATATATATATATATATATATATATATATATATATATATATATATATATTTATATATATATATATATATATATATATATATATATATATATATATATATATATATATATATATATATATATATACATAATTATAATATATATAATATCGTTTTGATGGCTGTTTATTATTTGTTCTGGGATGTTTGTAAGATATTTACAAATTTGGGCAATCAGGTTTACTATCTAAAAAATGCATTTTAATTCTGCAATTTTTTCATAACATTGCAAAGTGCTTTTGACTTTTTTAATGTTAATTTTTATCAAAGATAATTTCTTCGACTATTTTCTTGATTAGGAAAAATAGGTTTAATATAAATATATTAAGGTATTATACTGCATGAATTTTTTTCTTTAAATTAAACTTTTGTTATCATAAAAGTGTTCAAGGTTAGTTTAAGGAGTTATTTGGAAATCAGAAAAATGGAAATTGATCTTTTTTAGAGATATTGGCTATAAAACAAATTCAAAATAGTGAATTTTGAGTTTTATAATGCTATTTTGTTCAGATATCTCAGCACCACAAAAAACACCAAATTTGTTTATGCTGCATTTATACTTCTTGTATTGAAGATACATACCTAAAAATATCAAAATTTGAATTCAATGTACACCCTGTCAATTTTTGGTCCGTAAATTGACCAATAAGTTTCCCGAAAAAATCTTTAATATGTGAAATTATTTTGAAAGAAAAAATTATTTGTTATTAAGTTGAAATTCTGAAGAAATCTTTTTGGTCCATAAAACCTATAGGAAGTATATATTTCAAGAAAATAAAACATTGTCACCTGAGAAGCATGGCCTACTTTATTTATACGGCCGGATATTTTACATTTTGAAGAAAAAAATAGAAGGCCAGTTTTCTAGAAAAATGTTTTTAAGAAAGCAACTTTGGAAGTTCAAAAAGATGGTTAACAAATGTTGTGTCGTAAATTGTCGTTCAAATTATCATAATTATGGTGAAGTATCTACAGTAGTATTTTCGTTTCCAAAAAATGAAGAGTTAAAAAAATATTGGATTAAATATGTAAATAGAAAAGATTGGACACCTACTAATTCTTCCGTTATATGCATCAAACATTTTGAAAAAAAATATTATAAGAAAGGTAATAAGAATCAACGTTTTAGATTAATAAAAAATTTAAAGCCTATTCCAACTATTTTTGACTGCACAAATTTGACTGAACAAGGTTCATTACAACTTATAAAATCTTCTAATTCATTAAGAAAATCACCAACTAAAAGAATATTTTAGCCAGATCAATATGAACAGTTTTTATTGAATGATTTGATTAATAGCTTTAACGATATTACTGAAAGTTTTGCTCCAGATGGTTTTTCATTCTTGAAGTATGATGATCATGTAATTTTTTATAAATTGAGTCATAGTACTTTATCTATTCCAGAGGTTACAAAGTGCATTCGTGTAAACAATGAGATGCATGTTAAATTATTTTACAGAGGTTCACCTCTGCCATTACCTCAGTGGTTTTGTCAAGGAAGAGATTGTCGTTTATCTTGTAAAAGTATGCTTCATAATTTTCCTACCTACATTAAATCACAAGCCGAACAATTTTCATCTGTATTGACTGAATTATTGCAAATTAAATATATAAAAAAACCTATTTATTCAGCCAATATTATAAGGTATTCACTGATATTACGATATACTTCTATGCAGTCATACCAACTTTTGCGTGAAGAAATGCCTTTACCATCATTATCATTACTTAAAAAAATAACTAGTGGAAATATTGATGCTCTAAGTTGTGCAAAACGTTTAAAATTAGAAGGTAAGATATCTCAAGACATTTGCTTGTTTGCGTAAAGCACCAAAAATAACAATGAAAGTGTTACATCCTGGCAATTTTAAACAAAATGTTTCTTTAGCACTTTCAATTTTTGATGAAACTACATCAGCAGCGATTCACTCATATTTTCCAGATCTTAAAAGTAGTGCAGATTTTCTTACATTATTTAACAAGTGGTGGGTTTTATCAAATTCTAAATGTCAGTATTCAGCATGTAATATTTTAGGTAATGCAGTCGTTTCTGGTGATAAAAAATCTGAATTTCTTTGGGAAATGGCACATTGGATTGAAGTTTGGCAATCACAAAAGATACCAAACTGTGAGATGTTTACTTTAAGTGTTCAGACAGCTGCAGCACTAATAAGAACACTTAATAGTCATGCCTCATTGATCGAGGACTTGCTTAATGATGAATATCACTTTGTTTTAACTGCAAGATTTCAAAGTGACCCATTAGAAAGGAGGTTTGGACAATATAGACAAATGAGCGGTGGAAGATTTTTGGTAGGTTTAAAAGATGTCACTATTTCTGAAAAAATATTAAAAATCAAAAGTATAGTTAAAGAAAGTATTAACTTCGATGATAGTTTAAAAGTGCCTGAGTCAGAAAATAATTTAACAGATTGGAAAAACTTTCTTCTTGATATTGATGAAGCTCAGTGTACTCCAGAAATCATGACACTTGCACCAGAAAGTAGGGAAGTAGGTGCTCATATTGCTGGTTATATACCAAAGAAACTTAAAAAACGTTTTGGTACATGTTGTAAAGAATTTTTATGTTGTGTCAATATTGATGAAAGCAATCCTGATCATACTTATTTAACAATTATTTCTAGGGGTGGTCTCACTATTCCTTCACCATCACTTTTGGATTATGTTTGCACATCCTTTGCTATGATTGACTACTTTTATAAAAAAATAAAGAAATTTAGTTTACATGCACGACAAGCTTTAGAATATTTGTTAAACCACTTTTATGACTCTTTTCAGACTTTTTCTTGTCCCATGCATGAGAAAACTGGGATAAAACTTGCTGGAAGAACTGTTGTTAACCTTTTTCCTTATAATAAAAGAATTATCTCTACCAGTGAAGTAGCTGTTGATCATGTAAAATCTTTTAAAAAGAGAAAATTTGAGAAAATTTAATAAATTATATATAACTATTTTATTTTTAAATGAAAAAAGAGAAACATTTAAATATTTTTTATAACTGTTCTTGTTTCTTACATCGTTTTTACTAATACAAAATTATAAAATAAACACTATTTATTTCTTAATAAATGTTCGTTTAATATCTAAAATTATGAATAAATACAACTTTTGTGGACTTTTTAAATGTAGAAAGTAAAATAATATTTAAAATGTTCAAAACGTATTAAATTTTTGAAACATTACGATTTTAAAAACTGGCCTTCTATTTTTTTCTTCAAAATGTAAAATATCCGGCCGTATAAATAAAGTAGGCCATGTGAGAAAGCTTGGCTCATCTTATATGGAATGATCCTTATGATATATAAACTTTATACTATAATAGTATTATTATTCTAATATATTATATGATATTTTTATAATAAATTTTTTTTAGTAATATAATATAAATTAGTGTAGTATTAATAAACTAATTAAATTGTGCCAAATAATGCTGTTTATTGTTGTATTATAATTGTGTAATAATGGTGTTTACCTCTTACCGTCTGACCTCTGTCAGTTTATTATTACTGTTTTTAACATTAATTTAATATTGCAAGTATTTAAAAATGTTAAATTTACTATTTGTAAAATTAAAGTAGTATAAACTAATAATAACTGCTTTACTTATTTCTACAATAGTTAATAGTTGAAAATAATAAAGGCTGTTGTTGTCAAATTTCTTGAGGAAAGAAAACTGTTCTCGCTTGTAGTATTGCTGACATTTTAACTAATGGTAAGCATATTTTGTATTGCAATGGTTCACATTCTTTTTTCTCTTTTCCATTTAATGTATTAATAATAAATTTTTTATTTTATGATTATGATAATTATTTTTTATATATAAAATTTTATATGAATCACACTAAAATTTTATATATAAAAAATAATTATCACAATCATAGATGATGTAAGAAAATGAAGAGGTGTCAAAATGGATGTTGAGCCCTTGATCAGTACATATAGTGGTTATTTTGATGGTTGTTTACTATTTGCTAGGTTTGACATATTCTTGTTTTGGGCGGCTTCTGGGATGTTAGCAAGATATTTGAGGCTTTTTGCAATTGGCTTTATTATCTAAAAAATGCATTTTTCTTCTGCAATCTTTTCAAAGCAATGCAAATTACTTTTGAATTTATAAATGTTAATAAGTTATTTTATTCAATTATTTTGTAAATAATTTATTCAATTATTTTGTAAATAATTTTCATGATTATTATAAATAATATAATATAAATGTATTATGATATGAAACTGCATAATTTTTTTTTTCTTATTACATCATTTATAAAAAAAAAATGTTTTTTTGTTAAGTATTTTCTGCGAATAGTCTTACGGAATAATGCATTTTTTAAAAAAGAAGATTTTCAACGTAACGGTAACATAACGGGTAACTTACCCGTTATGTTAGGTTTACAACATAACGGCAACATAACGGGTAATTACCCGTTACATAACGGGAGTTTTCCTCGCACATAACGGTAAATTAGCGTTATGTAACCGTTATGTTTAAGACAATTTTGCTAAGACTAAACATAACGCTAAAACCGCTATGTTATTTTCATACATGTTAAGTATTAAAAATAACGACAAGGACCCATTATGTGCGAAAACTATATATATATATATATATATATATATATATATATATATATATATATATATATATATATATATATATATATATATATATATATATATATATATATATATATATGTATATATGGATTACATTACATAACTAATGCATTACCGTGAAAAAACTTACCAATAAAAGGTTTAAAGGCTGTACAACGCTTGAAAAAAGTGCTATAACTTCAGTGTTAGAAGACAAGGAAAAAGTAGCTAAAAAACTAAATAACGATTTTGAAAACTTTAAAAATACTTGAGTTGTATTTAGTTTATGAATTTTCAAAATTTTCAAAAACTTTGCGTGATTTAAATTTGTAGATGAAAAACATTTTATACCGGAAATTGAGCTATATATGGATAAGAGTCTAGTCTCTTCCACGTTGACTCGTGGGAGAGCATAAATAAAAGGCCGGAAAAGTTCTCTCAAAACAGCTTAATTCAAGCTAATAAAGCTTAGCAATCATTAAATACAGCCATTGTACTATTTAGCTTTAATACTTTTACTGAAAATGGATTAATCAAAGAGTTTTAGGAAGGGGTCTTTAAAACATTAAAGATAGTTAAGCTTTTTAAAATTAATTTGTAAAAACTTTATCATCACGTGTTTTATTATTGTCACGTGTTATTCATTTGTATTTTTGACGCTAATTTATTCAACACTTTTATCAAAACCTAAAGAATAAAGAACTTTGAAGAATGTCATTCATTATCATGAGTGAAAAAAATAATTGATTAAAATATTTATTACTTAATTTATTTTAAATATTGTACTGAGTTATTTGCTCACTGCCAATATTCCAATAGTTTAAATTTGCAGCTAATTTGATGAGTACTTTTATTCACTATCATAAAGATTCTTTATCTCTAAAACTTGAGTTTACATTTTTACATCTGTATGGATCGATATGGCTATAAATACATATAATAAATCCTAAAATATCAAATTTTTCACTCCTAAAATATCAATTACATAATGAATGATAAGAAAGACGGTTGAACAACTAAAACATATCAATTCAAATTTTTTTTTGATTTTGTTTGGTTTTTAAGTTATGGCTGCAATGGTTTTGTTTTTGTTATTTCTGTTTTGTTTTTGAATTTTTATTAGTTTTGAATTTGAATTCAAACTTATGCAAATAAAAAGCTTCAGTGCGTGATGCATTAGAATTTTAGCAACATCTTGGTCTATTTCTGTTTTAAAAAGGTCATAGTTTCGGATGTAGGAAGGTCATAAGTTTGCTAAAAACAAGACTTGTCAAAACAGCTGTTTGATAATTGCAAAATTTTACTGTCAATTTTTGAAAATATACACAAACGTTTACTGAAAATATTTTTACATTTAAATTTAGTTTTTTATATTACATTATATTGTTAAGATATTGATATATATTGATATTAGAAATAATTGATGTTTATTGAAAAACTGGTATATTTATTGATATTAAAAAACTTGTGGTTACACTTTTCTGTTACAATGTTTTTAAAAGATTTTTGATCCTCATTATCAGAACAATGATCTGTTAACAGTTTGTTTTTTGCGTTAATTATTAAACTTTTAAGTTTTCTATTTTGTATACGCAATTGTGCATTTGTATTTAAATCAACTATTTCATTATTGACAGCCTTTTACATAGAATTTATATTCCTTTCCATAATACTAGCTATTTTGGACACTTTATGAACAATTACTGCATTGTAAAGTCTCTCTACATCTCTCTAAACTTGCTGTTTTATTTTTTTGATAAAATAAATTGCATTCTAATCGATCAAACTCCATTGCACTTGCAAACCGCTTTTATAACTACACTATTTATCCGTTTAATGTGTCTTGCTCTTGCATTGTTAGCGGGCCAAATGTCTTTTTTTTTAACATAAAATAATAGAACTACATTCAATAACGGCCTGTTTATCAGATTATCCATTTTTGTGACTATGTAAAAAAAAATTCTATTCAGGATTATTTCTGAATTATTGGTGTTAAAAAAATTTTGATCAATAAATCTGCATTTAATTGGAAACTTTTGTAAGTTCTTTTAATATCTAAAAACCCTTTAAAACGCAAAAAAATGTCAAATCCTCCATCTTGAATAAATTTAACTAATGAAAATCAAAACTCAAAACAATAACAATAAAAATAATAATGAACTTATTTAAGTAAATAAAGTACTGAACTTGTTAAAAAAGTATGTAAAATTTTAATCTAAGAAAAATAAGAAAATATAAACTCTTAAAACTTTGATCAATTTAAAATAATCATCTAACATGACTGTAAAAATTAGACTTTTTCGGATTTTTCTTTTTAATTTTATTTTTGAATAAGTCTTAATTCAAAATTAAATATAAAAAATGAAAATAAAAATAAAAAATTTATAGTAAAAGCCTATTTAGGAATAAGTTTTATTTTTATTAAAATAAAATCTAAAAATAAATTTGTCCAGCTATTTGCTGTTATTAATATTAGTTTGTTTACCCAGTTATTTTAAATTGAGTTTTTGGCAAATATTAAAATAATAAATATCCGGCATTAAGCATATATTGCATAAATATAATTACGACTATAATTAAATATAAGCATATAAATATATATATAAACATATATATAATTATGTATGAGCATATATATAGTTATGACTATTGCTCAAAGCAATTGTCATAATTATGACAATGAAAGCTTCAATGGATGCTGTATATAAAGCTTTCATTCAAGCTTTATGACCTTATTAAAAAAGTTTTTTTCTTAACTGACGAGAATTGACGTCACCGTAAATTAAAGAACCTACATAAAAACTTTCGAGAAATATTTTTTGGAAAAAATTACCTTTAAAGTTTAATTAAATAAGAACAGCGGCAAGATTGAAAGTGTTTAAAAATGTGACATTGTTTTTTTTACTTTTTTTTTTTGAAATCTCTTTGAAATATATGTAATTATGCCTACCTCATAACTGTCTTTAGTTATACGTTATATAAGAGTTAACAAGATTTATGAGGAAAAGAAAATGACGTAACTTAAAGTAAAACTTCAATTAAAAGATCAATAGTTACATATTTTTATGTGGGAGCTTTCATTAAATTATTAAAAGCTTTTTATAATTTACATAAAAACTTTTTCCAAGTCAAAAAAAAAAAAAGTTATGATCTTAAATGAAATATTTTGAAGCTTTAAAAAAATATTTTAAACAGCTTTGAAATTATTTTAAAAAACCGTAAGAAACTTGTCTATTGTGATGGAACTGTTTTATTAAATTTATTAAATATAACTATCTAGTTTTTCAAGGACTATTTTTTTGCGTGTGTGTGTTAAGTTATTAAGGTTATTAAGGTTCTTCCAGAAGTCCTTACGGTCTTATTATAAAGCACCACATCAGTGCATTTTACTTAGAAGTCCACTCCTCCTTCCTTGACATCGCAATTTAATGCGCTAGAGCAAGCATTGAAACACGAACCTCTGAGCCAGAACTCCAACCACTGCGCAACAACTGCTTTAACACTAGATAATTTTCATTTTCTCATTTATACGAATGACTACCATAAGGACTCTAATTTGATAGCAATTAAAATTGCCGACAATTCTAACTCCTGACAATTCTCAAAGTTAAAATTGAGAACAATTCTAAGAGTTAAAGTTGCCGACAACTCTAACTTTTTTTAATTTTATGATAATATCGTAAGTTTATCTTAAAATATTAGTATATATAAATTAAACAAAGTGGTTGGTTTAAAATAAACAATCTTATCCTAATAAAAAAATCAGTGGCTGGATGGCTCAGTTGGTTAGAGCGTCAAAAAACGAAAATATACGGGTTCAAATCTTGCCACCGCCAACTCAGCGCTAGAGTAGTACTTCGGTACGCAAAAATGTTGATCAATAACGGACGCTACTTTGATGACTATTTGTGACTGTTCTCATGCTAAACCAACAATATCTTCGGATATAAGAATATTGTATAGAAAAATATAGCATGAAAATTCAAATAAATAAATAAATAAATCAAAAGGATGCTCTTTTAATCAGCTCCCAAAGAGCCGAGCAAATTTCTCTATACATTAACAACAAAGTAAAAACAACTTTTCATGTATTTCAATTGATGAAAATCTTACTTATCTTACTGAAATATCGCATAAAAAATTTAGTCAACACGGATTCTGAAAGAGTGGAAGTATCATGTAAAACAAGAAGTTTTTTAAACACACTTAATTTAATTGTATTTCTTATTTATCCAATGTCATAGGGCAAAAAAAGTAAATAAAAATTAGAGCCTCTCTATTGTCAGCAGAAGCAAAAGCACGTCTAAAAAATGTTGTCAGCAGAAGCAAAAGCACGTCTAATCAAATTTATAAAACGTAATATTCACGGCAAGCCTTTTAAATCAGAAATAAAACAATTTTCAATAAAGTTTATACTTCATACTTCATTTGTTTTCTTCAGTTAATTTAAAAGATGTTTTAAATATTGAAACTTTTTGATATATGTTTGTTAACTTTCTAAAGTTATGTTTTATTTCTGTTTGAAATCAGCGTACTAAATTTATACAATCTTTTCAAGTCATGTATTACGTTTTTTCCGTTTATTAACCGTAACGTTAGGTTTAATTTTAAATTATCTTTACCTTAACCATTTCGTTTCAAGTTTACCATTTATGCAAATATAAATGTACAATAAATTAAAACTAAGTAAAATCAAACCAATATATAAAAAAATATATTTTTTCTACTTATTGTATAAGTTTAAAAATCAATATTTCAAAGACACAAAGATTCATTTTTTTTGATCAATAAGGTATTAATAAAAAAGTTTATTATGTAAATACATTTCTTTTAGCAATAAATAAAATACTATTTCCTTTAAGGTATTGTCACAAGTTTGCCTCTAACTTGAATAGTTTTAACAACAAAAATGTTTAGACAACTAATAAAAAAAAAAGTTTTTAACAAATGTTACTATAAATTTTAATGTTTAAGTATTAACGCTTGAACTTAAAAAGATGCACCTCAATTGCTTCTGATATATGAAAATGTGAAAAAAGAGATTAGATTTTTATGGAAAACTTGAAATAAAATGAAGGTTTAATTTTACTCAGAAGTACCAGCAATAGATCTAAATCTCAAGTTCTAGCCGTCTTTCTTTTTTGGCTTTGATCAATACATCCAGACAGCTTCCCGCTAGCGTCCCAATGCTGGCCCAGTTCCGCTTGCGAATACGGCGCGATGACGGCTGTCGATCACGGGCCTGCATCGAAACGGCCATTGGGCCAGCACTAGCCCGCAAACGTTTGCCAGTACTGGCCCGGGTTCATTTGCCAGCACTGGCACGCGATCGCATACCAGCACTGGCCCATTATCTATTACCAGTACTGATCCGTGATCATTTTCCAACATTTGTTTGCGTGTCATTACTAAAGCGTTACTTTTTACTAATACATTAGGACAAATGTATTATCCCGCATGACTCAAACAATAACTTTTCGAAATTTATTCCAACTTATATTGAAAAAAAATAAATTATTATTTTCGAAATTTATTCCCAACCAAAAGTGAGTTAAAAAATAGGTAAAAAATAAAAAAATGTTATTAAAAGTTTAAATTGTCTTTTATGTAAACAACTTTTTATATAAAGAACGTTCCTCTCGAGCTATTTGTCCGCCATTTCAATCCCCAAAAAGCAAAAAATATCTCTTCAGTTAATGTTTAAACTTTTCTCCTGATGCTCCTTAAGTTAAAGCTTTTATTTTCACAGCATCTAAATAACACAAAGTTAAACTATGTGTGAAAAATAGTAAACAATTAAACTAAAATGTATGATTAAAATTTACATTGCACTCACATATATAAACATTAGGATAATTAAATAAACATCTTTTTTTAAAAAATTCTGCACCTCAACCCTATTGTATTTAATAAAATAACAATAGATATAAAATTTAAAACAATATTTAAACATAAGACAAGTTCATATTATTATCGAAAAAAAAAAATTAAAATAACTCCAAGAGTAAATTGCGAGATTACTATTAACAAATGCAATGAAGTGTTTTTTTGCTCACATTCGCAAGAAACCATCTTACAGATAAACATTCATTGGATGTCACTTAAGACCCTAAAAACTAAAATAAAAAAAAAATTAACAATCAAACAGTTAAATTCTGTTTACTAATGCTTACTATGTGCTTCAATTGTAGCATTAGATGCAACTGATGATACAATACTGATTTAGGGAGCTATGAGAGCTTTAATTCATCCAGCAACTGATCAGCACGCAAGTAAGTTAATATCATCTAAATAGGCAACAACAAAATATTTTTATTTTTCTTCAGTCACATTTTTTAGAATTAAAGCCCTAAAAATAAATTAAGAAATTGTCACCTTATAAAGTGATTTTATAATCTTTTAAATAAATTCTTCAATAAAAAAAAAAAAAAAATTTCTAGTCAATAAAATACAATACCATAGAAGTGGATGGGTCTCCATCCCATCAGTTGTCTCACTGCTTTCGAAAAAAGTATGTCCATCAATTTAACTTGATAAATTTTGATGCATATTTGTGCCTTGTTTACATAAACTAACTAAAATATTGTTTCAGAACATATTGGAATTCAGTTACAAAAATAAAAAAGAATATTCAAAAGAAAAAAGTATAAAAATACATCCTTTTCTAAAACTTCAGAGGCAGAGCCTTGTTTTAAAAAGTAGTTATATTTTAAATAATCTGAAGTCAAATTTTCAATACATAAAAATGTTAAAGGAGGAATAGAACGGGCTGGAGCAAGTGTCTTTATTATTTACAACTTTCTTTTATTTTTTTTAAGTAACTGTAGAGTGTCAGTTTCTTAACTTAAATATACAAATTTGTGATAATATACATTTCTATAAAATACTGAAAGTGAACGAACATCATGATATGATGATCACGATCTAAATTACATATGCTCATCATTATCACGTATATCATATCATCATCGCAATCATCATGATCATCACCTGGTAGGACAAAGACGTTTCTGAAATCTGTTTTCTTCTAAATTTATCAGGGTTTTACTGTTGTTGATTGAAAAAAAGTCTGAACAAACTTTTGCCACAGGTAATTTTTCTCATGTTTTATCATATGTAACTAAAAAAATCAAAATAGTAAAAAAATGTTAGAAAAATACTTTAAAATAAAAAACAAACAAAAAAATTATATACTACAGAAAAAATATATATTTGTAAAAATATACATAAAACAATTAACCAGAGTTATACTAAATATTTTTATCATAATCAATCTAATCATTCATATAATCTTTACATTTTTTAATAGTAAATGTGGTGAGTCTTAAAAGACCATCCACAAATACCATTTGTTTTCTAACTAAAAAAAAATTAAAAAAACAAATCAAACAAATTAACAAAAGAAAAAAGAAACAAGAAAAGAAAAAGGAAAGAAAAAAAAAACCAAAGTTAAAAGAAAAAATACATTTAAAAATGAAAAGTAATTAAAAAGGATTTAAAATAAAATATATAAATTGCTCCCTTTTGTAAGAAAGAAAAAATAATATTTTTTAAATTTTATTATTTTGGAGTGACAATATGTGTTTGCTTGATATGATTTACTTTTTACTTTTAATAATATCATTTATTATGAAAACTCTATACTTTCAATTGAATAATTTTTGATTTGTTTATTTATTGTTATTTTTTAATGAAGTAACTATTTTACTTTTATCATTTTTATTTTGATTATTGATAATATGATTATTATATTTATTAAATTATTGTTACTTTTTTTTGCAGTAATAGTTTTAGTTACATGGTAGGTTGTTACGTTTTGTCAGTACACAACTGTTTGTAACTTTCCTGTCTGTGCATTATATTCAATTGTTGTTTTTAAATTGATATTGGTTTATATCATATAATTATTTTATCGTTCTTATAACTTTTAATTTATCATCATTATAATTTTCATTATTTGTATTATTATTATCATTATTTGTATTATCAATCCTATTTCATAGTATTTGCTTAAGATTAGCTTTTAACTATTTGTAAATGACCTCGATTGTAAGATCTTTCATCCAAAAATATATTGATTGATTGATATTCATTTTACATAAAAAACAGCCACTGAAATTTTCATCAATAAATTTAACAATATGATAAAACTTATTTATCATTATCATAGAAATAAAATATATGTTAATGTAGTAATAAACTATATAAAAAATAGGAACTATAGGCATTAAGTTTAATTATATTTGATCATTTTGTTATATTTGATAATTAAAAAAAAAAATTAAATTTGAGAAATATTAAAATATAGAGCAATAAAAATTACTAAAAGTATTTCAGAAAATAAAATGCAAAAAAACGATAAAACAAATATTTTTTAAATACATTACATGACAATCATCGAATGATGTCAATTATATGATCAAAGTCATTTTTTTAAATTATTATCTAAGGAATGTATCATTACAAATAATATTAATATAATAATGTTATTATTAAAAGAAAACATTTGAGAAACAACATAACAAATAATAAAATAAATAATAAAGCACTTTTGTTATCAAGAACAAAAATAAACAATGTACAAACTTCAACAAACTATAACATGTGCAGCAAGACACACTGGAGAAAATTGTCATTTAAAATTGCAACATGTTCAACTTTTTCTAAATTTAATGCTAAATATTCCTAACAGAGTTGAATCATAAGGATAAGTAAAAAAATTTGATTTGGTCAAAAATTACTAGTACACAATATAGGTAGTCTCGTCAAAAATATAAATACTTTTCACTAAAAAATTTTGTTGTGTAACACAAATATTGCCACAGGTTGCTTTAAGATAAAGATTTGGTAAGTAAACATCATTATATGATATACACTATACACATATACAATATACACATATACTTATACATATAATATATTGAATATAGTATAAATATTACAATAATATTTTTGTGAATGGACAATGTAAATAGTACAAGACTAATTCAAACCAGAAACCTTTTAAAAAAACAAAACAATATATATATATATATATATATATATATATATATATATATATATATATATATATATATATATATATATATATATATATATACATATATATATATATATATATATATATATATATATATATATATATATATATATATATATATATATATATATATATATATATATATATATATATATATACACACATATATATATATATACACACATGTTATATATATTCTAATAAATAAAAAAGTGTTTGTCAAAGTTAGATATCTCTAACCTTATAAAAAAACTTTCATTTTTTACGTAAAAAATAAATGTTTTTTATAAAGTTAGATATATCTAACTTTATTACCAACCGTGTTTTTTTTATTAAATAAGCATCTTTTGCATATCTTTTGCATAAAAGTTATGCTATCAGCATAAATGATATCAGCATAACATTTATACAAATCAAAGTATAATAACCAAACATTTATAAAAACATTCATACAAACCAAAATATAATAACATTTAGTTGTAATAACAAAATATATCTTGTAAACATTTAGTTTTGCTTTTATAGTACCATCATGGATAACGAAAAAATATTTAAATAATAGCAATTATTGCAAAACGACATTTGGCCAAATGTCGTTTTGCAATAATTGCTATTATTTAAATATTTTTTCGTTGGCCAAATTTTCGTTGTTGACGAAACTTTCATTATCAAAAGAGCAGTAATCACTATTTTCAACGAAAAACATTGATTCAAGCGTTTTAATTTTTTTTTTCTGTTCAGCGTACAGAAAAAAAAAATCATACAAAAGGTCTAAAACAATTGACAACATTACAAACAAATCAATCTATGGTTACCAAGTTTCATCGGGTAATCAAAGTGACAAATTTATTTCTAAATACATTGTTTAGACACTTAGATTTTACGCTATAAATGTTTGCCTCACACACTCACCGACTACAGAATCGCAGCATCCCTCGTTAATAGATTTTTCAAGCGCCCTCACTCAGACCAGCATAACAAACAAACAATTATTAAAAACATGAGAGTAAAGCTTCATTAAGAGAATAGCTTGGAAAAGCTGGTCAAAACTAAAAAACTAATTAAAAAGAATTTGTTTGTAAACATTAAGCAACGTTTATACTAGTCACTTCAGTCACCTCATTTTTTTCGTGTGGAAAGGTTAAAGTCTATAAGCAAAAGTGATCTAAAGACATCAAAATGGTGTTCTTTAAATTTACTATTAGGGGTAAATATTTTGAAAATTCTATATAAAAAAAAAAAGTTTTTTTAAATAATAAAAAAACCTCAAGCAAAAAAAATTATACCATCTGAAGCTCTTGTTTGGTCAAAATACGCTGATAAAATCATGCTAATTCTTATAAATATTATAAATAAAACTCAAATAGTTTGTAAATTGCTTTAACTACCCCAAGAATAAAAATATTGGCGTATTATTTGGTAATTTTTTTGGGAATCATTTTAATGCTATCTAATTTTAAACCTAAGTGCTAGTTGTAATTCACTGACAACATTTTAAAAAAATGTTGATCTATGAAGATTATTCTTCGAAGTTTCTTAAAAAAGAAGCTAAAAAATTTCTCCATAGTTTATTTTCTTTACACTTACATTTTTACAAGTGCTTATACTTTTTAAATTGCTTTTTTTGAATTCTAGCATAAAAGATTATTTAGCTTATCAAACTACAATATTTGATATTTGTTTTTATGATTATTTATTTTTTATGTCTGGACTCAAAAATTAAAAAAAGCAATTTTTATTATTTTTCGATATTTTTCTTGACGCCATTATGGTACTACGCTCAACCTACATAGCTAGTTATTTAGGGTAAACTGACCTATATCTGGTTGCGTCTTTATTCTGGCCGATTTTCAAATGTTATTGAAAATTTTTAATGCATGATTATATTGATTTCCTTAAAGTAAAGGTACAATATTTAGACTTTATAATTTATAAATATGCAGTTTAAAATACTTATTGACTCGTTAACTACTTTTGAAAAACAGATAAGCAAACGCGGAAACTGATATTTGTATTAAAAAGATATTCTTCGACTTTTTTGTGTCATGCTAGAATTTTTGTATCCATAAAGCAAGTTCCTTTAGTTTTTTCATAAAAAAATTGTTGTTTATTATTGTATCTGAAAGAGGAGTCTGGAGTCATAGCATGCCATGATATGAGCAATCAACTGACAGGTGACAGCACACAGGCAGAATTTTGTTGACAAGTGCCATTTTGCAGCATACAAAACAAGTGCAACTTTTTTGGTTTGTTTCATTTTCTCAAGTCTGGTCCGTGTCAACGTCACGGAAGTTTTTTAATAATTAAAGGAAGTATCCAGAAGTTTCCAGAAGCATGCAGAAGCTTACAGAAGCTTCCAGCCTTGAGAAGCGTGATTATTTATTTTTGTTATTTTTATGGCTTCAAGTGCAAAAATGGCTCCCGACAGTCTTGGATTGGAACTAAGAGAGAAAGTTATTTGCGATTACTTAAGTGGAATGTCACAAAAAAGTATTTGTGATAAATATCATGTGAAAAAATAGATCGTATCAAGACTATGTTCCAAATATTGTTCCACAGGGAAGTTGGCAGCAGATAACAATGGTGGAAGACCTCGTTCCACAACTTCTAGAGAGAATTCTATGATCTTCAGATCTGTCAAGAAGGATCCCTGGATATCATCAGCTGAGATACAAAAGCAATTAAAGCTGCCTGTACGTCAAGCGGCCGGAAAACGCCTTGATTTACGTTACTGCCATAAGACCGTGAAGCATGGTGGAGGCAATGTAATGGTCTGGGGGTGTTTTTCTGCTAACGGTCTAAGTCCAATACATCGAATCGATGGAATAATGGACCGTTTCATGTATAAAAATATCCTGAAAGACCTGTTACGTTATGTTATCTCATGCTGAATGGAATATACCAATATAAAATGGGTTTTTCAGCAAGACAACGATCCCAAACACACTACAAAAGTAGTCGAGCAGTGGTTTCAAGACAACCATCTATTGGTGATGGATTGGCCGCCTCAATCTCCAGATCTCAACCCTATCGAGAACCTGTGGGAAATCGTCAACATCAGAATCAATCGTGAAGAGTTTCGTAATAAAGATTAACTGTTT